TTTTAAAGCCAAAACTGAGAAACCTCAAGAGAAACCATGCGTCTGGACACTTGGACAATCTGCACAGCCCCTGATTCCACTCCGGCTGTGAGCTGCTGAGACATGGACAACACCATCGTCCTCTTTTGCATGGACATCATTTGGAACAATTGGATTACACAATTTTGACATAATTTGGACTGAATTGAATTGCTGAATCTGGACACTGAAGCTGAAACGTGTGATTGAAAGACACGTCACAGAAGAATTCATGGCTCGACACAAATGCAGCCTGAAGAAACCAACAGAGAAGTGGGAGAGACTGTTTTCAAAGCAATATCTGGAACCACATCGACTGATGAAGTTTGGTATTTTACTGAAGATTGTTGACAAGTTTTATGAAAGATCTGAACATGTTTTATGAGTTTTCTGAGTTTTTGAAGTATTCCGAGTTCTGAGTTTTTTGAAGTACCGAGTGAAGTACCGAGTTTGAGTTTTTAAAGTATTGAGTTATGATGTTATGTTGCTGTTTATCGATCCTGATGGTCACAGGTGAATGTGTGACCAGAGGGGGGAATGTGAGATTTCATAACACTTTTAAACAACTTTTGTTAAAGTTAAACTCATCATTCTATCAATGTGCAGAAGCCTGTACTTTTCCCTTGTTTTGTCTATCTGAAGGCCAAGCTACATGGCACCGTGGAAGCTGCTGATTGGAGGTCTCCATGCCTCCGCTCTGTATAATACACTTGCATTTTGTTGTTCGTGCTGTCTCTACCATCGACAATAAAACATGTCTTCTGTCTGAATTTAAGACGCGATCCCAGACTTTGTCATCTTCTTCAGGTGGTGGAGGATGCGGGCCTTGTCTGTAACATCTAGAGAACAGAAGACTACTTTTTGTTTAAAGTCATAATTTCAATATTTTTTATTTTTATACACACATTATTAACTAAACTGTTGCGTTCTAATCTTTTTTTAGGAGGAGGAGAGCGCAGTCAGGCCAGGCTCGCCTCGCACATCTTAACACTAGAACTTGTTGATTAGCATTTGTATAGCTCACAGCATTGTCATTTACATGTTAAAGCCTCCTGTGGAGGAGGGAGGAGGGGACAACAAACTACCGTCAACAGCCGAATCCCAGAAGTTTCACAGTAATATACAGGGCCGAAAAGAGACAAAAATCACACTTTTCACTTTTCTCAAAAAAAAGATGACTTAAAGGAACAATATGTAAAAATCTGGCCAAAAGTGGTACTGCAGTCATAGTCAATATTTTGTAGTCCTCTCCCACTCTCCCTGACTGGTTGCCAGATTCACACCAAATCCAGCAGCAAACACAGGGAATTATTTTATCAGTTGTTTGTCCGTCTCCATTCACATTGCCATGACAGCCGTGCTAATGCTGAATGAATGTTTTGATTAATGTTTTTTTATTATTATTATTTGGACATTTGAGATAAAAAAACAAAAACAAAATAAAAGCAATGTAATTATACATAGTTTATGCAAAATAAATAAGCAATTGATGTCCAAAATAGGAGTGGGAAGAATGGATGTTGGAACGTATTTCTTCAGCGTATCAACATCAAGGTTTGCTCAAGAGGATATCACCTTTCAATTTTATTTATTCCCTATTTTTTAGACAAACATGTAAAAGTTCCACATCAAAAAGAGACTAACATTATTTTAATTGGGGTACATGTGGTCTTAAATGATTATTTTTACATTTAAGCTATAATCTGCAAAAAAAACGTCTTGACCTTCATCTTTTACCGTTTTTAGAGCAATCTGTCATAGAATGTGATAACATGCAATAAATACAAAAATATATAGCGCGGGATCGAACCCAGGTTCCTGCATCATAAGCACACAGCTTAGACCACTAGACCAGGGGTTCACACAATCATAGACACTGACTCAATTGTTCAAAGCCATCCCTATATAAATCCTCGTTTTAGTCTTTGTTTTGTCATTAATGATTTGAGAGTCATAACAAGACCTTTTTTTAGAATAGAATTCTATAGACAATACATAATTATTTTAAATATATACGTTAATGCAATTCGTATTATAAAGATAAAGATTATAAAGAAAGAAATAGCATTCAATAGAAACCTCAATAGAAACCTCAACCTTTCACCTCGATTTTTTCAGACATTAAAGACAAGATGTTATATAATAATTGTTTAATGAAAAAACAATTTTGCCCCAAGCAACCAAAAGATGTGCTTCAGACAAGAATCGAACCTGGGTTCTCCAGGTCCCAGTCTCTAATGTTATCCATTTGGCCAACATAGCACCTCTGGGTTAGACAGGTTTGCACGCAGTCTTATACCTGAGCGTCTAAGTCGCTGGCAGAGCTAAAGCGGACTTAGCCTGCCACCTTGTGGCGATAAGATGTACTATTTTTCACGCAGCTGCGTGATTCCCGAGAAGCGTGAATGAAGACGACAAAACGGAATGGGACCTACTGTACGTGCAATACACTACTAAACCGTAAGAGGAGTTTAAAAAATGTTTTTAAAGCAGGATATTTGAAACAAACGGTGATATATCAACTGCACGAGCTGAGTGCACTCAGACACACACACACACACTGTGAGGGAGCGGTCTGGGGTGAGGCACGCAGGAGCGCTGCCTCACCTCGTCTCTTTGAATAGGAATAACGGGATTTCGGCGATTTTGACTTCAGAAATGATCAAAACTGATGGGAACCGTGCCGAATATACATTAAAAGCATAGGACAGTGGATATAAATTATATATTTAAACTAAAATAATTATTAGTTTCCAATAATGGCAGGTGAGGCTCTGCCTCCCCTGCCTCCCCTGACTGCACGTCCCTGGTGTGTATGTGTTTGTGTATGTATATGTGTGTGTGTGTAAATGTAAGCTCCAATGTAGTTCTGACCCGCGCCAGTGTGCAACTTTGACGGTAACAGAGGGGAGAGATGATGCGTGTGGATGTTACGTATGGAGAGGGGGAAAGTGTGTGTGTGTGTGTGTGTGTGTGTCTGTGTGTGTGTGTGTGTGTGTGCGCGCGCGCGCATATATGTGGCTCGTGCGGCGTGAGAGTCGTCCCGGAGTTTATAATACATGGGCGCACACAGCTAGATACGGACCCGCTCGTCACATCGTGCAAATAGGGCTTAAAATAGCGTTATTAAGAGAGAACCGACAGCTTTGCCCGGTTAACGTTGTGACGGTCAACCACCGGTTAAACGGTCGCCGATTTACATCCCTAGCACAGATCATAAAAAAATTGTTTTATCACTTTTATATTTACTCACAAAATTATCTTTTGGGGAGCTACTTTGAAGAGGGTGGCGAGCTACCCGTAGCTTGTGAGCTATAGTTTGGAGACCCACGTTCTAAAGGGACAGAGCTTTTTACCATTTACCATACAGTGTCGTGGTAAATTTACCACACAGTGTGGGAAATGGATCTGCATTTAGTGAGAGGGGTTGAAGGATTCATATTTACAGCTCTCCGTGTTGAACAACATTTTCCTGGTGGATGTTGTGTTTGTGAAGAACAAGCAGGAAACACTGGGTGCATGTGGAAGTCATTCGAACAGCTCGTAGCACATTCTTGCAGAACGACACGGTGTTAACAGACAATTGAAAACGATTACTTCTTGGAGTGTGGAGATCGAGAAAAGCCTGCGGAGCACAGACAGCCGTGAAACAAGCTTCTCTTTGTAATAACGCAGGGCTAAACTTTGACTGCCGCTTATGGGAGTCCCTCGGCTATGATTTTCTCATGTGATACACTGCCTATGTCTGAAAGCATTCCCTAGACACAGTATAGAGCCATATAACAAGTTTAAGGTGTTTTGAAGGGAGGTCCAAATAACTCATGGGCTCATTTGTGTTGTATTGAAATCTTGTAAGAGACTGTATAATGGGGATTTAAACTTCTGCATGCATTTTAGAATGTCTGCCTCTGAAAACATCCAATGGCAATTATCTGAGCCTGAATCACGTTCAGCTTAATTTGGTTGAATCCGCCTGTCACTCACTCTAACCTGGTGGTGATTCATCAGATTTTTGTGGAGGTTATCTTTAATGTCAAACTATACCTCACAACCAATGACTTCTTATATATATATTGGCTTTAAGCATTATAAATACCCAGTATTTTTAATATCATACATAATTTGTCATTATTCTGTCATGTTTCTGTTTCTTGAATCAATCCATCAAACTTTCTTCTTTTGTTCCTGTTACTCCCATCGAACCAGGGAGTAGATTCAGACATAACTTCCACTGATCTTCAACAAGACAGGACAAGAAGTCAATCTTTACATTTTCATTAAGTTCCACCACTGGGCCCCAGGTAGACACTAAATATGGCTCTACTCTGCAGGGGAGCTGGCTCCCACTGCCTCTCTGCATCATACCATTGTCTCATGTCATTTATCTTAAAGGAGACCTTACAAGCTGCATAATATTGAGGCAGTAATGAAGAAAACTTATCTGCACCAGGCTTCATACAGTAACTGCAGCACGCCCTTCCCGGGAACTCCCCATTGGGCCGTAAACAACTCAAAATACCTGAACTAATTGGGCATACAATTTCAAGCAAAAGTAGCAGCAAACATCTGACTCAGCGTTACTGTGATCTTTGCACTCTTACCCTCTATGTCTTTGGTTTCTTATAGAAACGCCCAGGATTCAACAGATGGAAGCTGAACAACAACGGGAATACAGCAGTCTTCATGTATATACATAGCTATATTGTATATTTTGTTATAATTATAATCCAACAGGGAAATCAGGGATTTCAGCTGTTCAATATTTTACATTAGATGGATTAATCTTTTAAAATAATATAACAAATACATACATGCCATTACAATTTTTGTAGAAATGTACAAACTGTGCCTGCCATTAATTTACAATTTTCATTCCCAATTGTGATAAGGTATATTTTATAGATATTTAGTGAATTAAGATAATAAACATGTACAGTACAAAACTGCAACTTTTGAAATCTGTCATATGAAAATCTTAAATCCTATGACAGTATGGCATAGCTCGCCTGCAAAGCAGCTTGGGAAACAGAACGAATGACCACAGCTTTATTATTTTCTGCACGCTGAACGGTTAAAACTGGGACAGGGCTTAGGCTGTAAGGAAATGAGTGTGTGATTTTGGGACGCAGGATTTGGACTCACATGAAAGGTGCGCGTGACGCCGGGGGTCAGGTTTTCGGCTTGGATCTTCCATGTGAGCGGCTGTGGAGAGTTCAGCACAAACACTAGGGCCTTCTGATGACGCAGCAGGGACTGGATCGGCTTCAGATGGAGCTCCACCTGAGAACAACAGAACAGAGGTGAAATACAAATGGACAATATCTCTGTGATCTGAACAGAAAGAAAGCAACAAGTGGAGTGGGCACTGCAGGGCCCACAGGTTTAAACATGTACAGGTGCCTTCCAGGATGAGACTGATTGTAATGAAATAAACTTCTGACTACATGAAGTCAAAAAAAGAGTAATGTGAGGCATCGCTGCATTAGTGAAATTAAAAGTCCTTTATTGACTGGACATGCATTGTCCTTTTTAAAACATTTAAATATAACTTCTAAAGCCACAGACAATGTTAATCAGCTTCACTTATCATGGCCATTTGACAACTTGTGATGTGTAAAAGTGTATTGCGATCAAAAGTTATAAAAGCTGCTGGGTGGTTAGAAAACCCAGCTCCAACGCAATATACATGTAGAAAGAGCGGTTCTGTTGGTCTCATTCGTGCCATCTTGCCTGTAGATAATGTCGGACATTTCTCATCATGAGCTGTTCCAGTGGCTCCCCCTCCGGAAGGAGGCTGTGCTGTCGCAGGGCAAGAACTGAGAGACGAAAGAGAAGCTTCTCCCCCCAGGCTATAAGCCTTTTAGACAACTATGTTGTATGCTTTTTTGACTGCTAAGAACCAAACCAAGGACAAGGAAATTGGTTCCAAGTCATTTCACTACATATTGAAATTGTTAAATATTGTTATTGACTGTGTTGTTAACATTGAATCTGACAAATAAATGATGTATCTACTGTATCTATCAGTAGAACTAGTCAACATAAGGCTCTCTCAACCTAAAGAAAACAACTTTTTACCCTCAAGGTAAAAGTGAAGTAATATTCTCAATATATGTATATTTAATTTATTTGATTTAAATGTATGAACTATGTTAAAGCTGTGTAACAACGTTTTAGTTTTATAAGTAATACATTTAGTTAGTCATAACAGAAAGAAACATCCTGTTATTTGTAGATCTCTTGCATATTGTAAGAAAGAGTCACTATTTGAAACTTTTTGCTGAAGGTTTCAGTCTAAAAATCAAAGTGGCAGAGGCCAAAAATGCTTCATACATGACTACAGAAGTTACAGAATGCTGACATATAGTATCTTGTGTGTATGAAGTTCCCATGCTTCTTGGAAAGTCAACTGTCTGACAAACAATATGAATCAGCATGACATAACACAAAGGCGTGCTCCTACAATGTGCTTCTGTCCAGGCATCACCTCAGACCATGTCAATATAGAGCTAAAGTGTAACTCCGGGGAAAGAAACTGGAGTGAAAGGTTGACACATTGCCATTGGAATTTATGTCTCCCACTTGAATAAACATGTCACCAAACCCCAATCCCCTTTGAAGTGCTTTAGAGGTTTCACTGCTTGTAGGTGAAGTGCAGCATTCTTACTATTGAACAGGACAAAAACAGTAGTTTTTCATAAGTAGTTTGAGTTTCATCATATTCAAAGTTCTGGCTTCAGGGCAAATACATGTGGTTGTAACTGGTGTAAAAATCTGCCACCCTTTTATTCTGATATAGCCTGGTCGCACCACACCATAGTACAAAATACATTTTGTACTAAGGTCTGGAGGCGCTCCATTGAGCTCCGTTTACAGGTGGGAGGGGTTAATTCCTTTTGCAGATTGAAACGATTGGATCTGGGTTTACTGTGACGTATGTGATGCGCCCGAGTGAGTCGTTAGCATTTAGCATTTAGCCTAGCCATCTCCTTTGCCGCTAACGGAGCCCGTGGGGAGTAGCGCCACAATTTTTTCTAGCGATTACATTTGCTAAACAATCCTATTGCTCCGGCTTCAATTTCTTGATAGAACCAGACTGGATTACTTTACTATCGCATTTTTCGCCATTGCCAAACTACGACCTTCCCGTTTGACGCAAACTCTTGACGTCATCCACAACTAACTACAACACCTGCCTTCCGCGCTCGCTGGTAGGTCAGTCGAAATTCAACCGATTGTAATCGCTAACACAGGGACGAGACCCAGACGTTACATGCAGTGATTGAGCGGAGTGTACGGATGGCTAAGGCCAGGCTAATTCTGACAATACAAAAGAGAGAAACGGTATACATTGTTGTTGTATACAGTATACAGTATAGTGTTTTTAGCCTATTCATTTGCCTTTACGTCATCGTCTGCAAACATCTTCACACAGGATTCCATAATTAATACTCTCTTTCTCTCTCTCTGAGGATAAAACAATCAAGAAATTAGAAATTATTTCTATTGTTTTCCTTGTTTACATTTTTCACTGATAACACAACACACCATAGTACCATTTCCCCTACAAGACACATTTTACACATACTGATGTCTCGCACTTTCACACAGGGAACCCTTTGTTATCAAGGGGAGAAAGGGAAAAAAATAATAATAGCGTGTCACTGTTTGCGTCTCTGCCTTTGCTATTCAGACTGGCATTTCCATGGTCTGATTGCTAGACACCTACATAAAAAAACGTACCATGCTGGCTACAATGTTTTGGACCATTTAAAACTACTGGTAGTCAGCAGTGAATCGGTAAAATATTTCAACACCCAGTGGGACTTTGATCAGTGCTGGTATTTGTATTCCCAGACTAATTTGGTTAGGCCCGGCTTCGACTTTGAGCGACTAATTCATTCCACAAGGATTCACATGTTTGATAATAGGCCCCTGGGGGAACGCGGTATTCTTCACAGCTCCTGCCCGCACTGCAAGAAGTACAATGATGGGGTTTACATCCAGGACTAGAGTAAAATAAACTTTAAATGAATAATAAATTGTTTTTATGTAAGCCAGACAACCTTGTTCCCTCATCAAAAACGTACCATATTTCGTGTTAATATCACAAATGTTTTGCAAACACATGTCCACTCCACCCCCTCACAAAACACTGTTTTCTGATTATATCGTCTCTAAAGTAGTCCTGAGCCTTTTTGCAGTCACCTTGGCAGGATCCACTCTATCAAAATGATTAATAAAGTTGGTGGTATCTCATATGTTAGTATGAGTTTGTATTGCTGTTTACCAGATGTATACACTACTCAACTTTGTCCATCCAAGTTCTTCACCGGTTGAATGTTCATTGTGAAAACGGATTGCTCTCTTTTGTTACTACAGAAAGCCGATAACATTTTTTGCATGGACCAAACAAGGTTAGCGGCTAAAAAATAAATCCTTTCTACATAAACTTGGTCCTCTTTATGCAACAATATGTTTATTGAATGAAAACATGCAAACTAATAATACATATACAATAATGGTCTCTCCCTTCTTCTTGAATAGAAACTGTTGATCCCATACAGCTTTTACCTGCTTCAGCTTTTGTGAAAAATACACAATGATGTTCTCACTTCTCAAACACCATTACAAAGAAAAGTCTAAAATTAATTAAGTCCAGCTTTCAGCCACTCAATTTGAGAAATATGGAAGTAATTTATCAGGAGGCATCCATAATAATGACTTCTCAATGGAAAAGTGTGAGTCTTTTAAGAACAACAAGAGCCAAGATATGATCATACCTGGACAGACTTTTTGGATTGTACGCGTATAAGGCGGGAGCAAACCCAGGAAGAGAGTGAGGAATGTCAAAGCCAGACGAAGACATTTCCAAAAGATGTGAGTGTCTTGAATGCAGCACGCACAACACACAGGGGAGACGGAGATACGAGCGGCCAGAAGAGAAAGAGGGGGTCAAGGTTTTGCTCGTAAACAGGAAAAAGGAAAGAGGATTTAAGGAGGCAAGGAGATTTCGAGACAAAAACGTTCACTGAATGGAAATGTTCTCTTTAGTGACTGGGTTGTAATTAGCAAATCGCAAACCACTGCAAAAAAATTGACTGAATAATTATCCAGTTGTTTAATAAAAATATACTGTGTAGCTAAAACTTCTCCAATCTTCTCCAAATTGTAAGTCTTCTTAAATGGTTTACTAAATCAAGAATACAATTTAAAAAGTTTGTAAAACTACGGATGACTTCAAAGTTACTAGTTTATCAAAATCCTACATACACATAAGAAAAAACACTAGATAAGAGTAATTCTGTGATAGTAGTTGGTGCCCATCATGTTAGATAGTATTTGTATCTATCAATATGGTTCACTTGTAAAGATGCTTCCCCCATTACAGGCCCGTATTGTATTGTAAAAAGCTAATTTAGATGTAAGAATTGTGCAATAACTTTTAACAATTCTACTTCTATTTTTTCATAGAGATAGAAAAAAAGTCTGAAAACACATTTGTATCATCACCCTTCTGTTTACATCCATACTGCAGCACTAATATATCATCTATAGGAAAAAAAAATGTGTGTTTGTTTTTCCTGAAATGTTGATTGTTCTCTGAGATATGCTGTTGTCCATAGATTAGTTTGATTTTCTTCCTGACAGAAGGATGTTGTGGCTTTCACTGAGAATCTTCACAAATCAACATGTACTTAATTAGCTCTGTCGATAGAGGAAACTCCCTAAGATACAGGCTGACATACTGTTTCTACCAATAGGATCCCATTACAATGACTCAAGTACATTTGAGCCCATGTGTAGTTTAGTTTAACCAAAAGGTCATGAAATTGTAACCAGATGGAGGCCAAAATAATCACTCCCAACTTGGCACTGTCAGCTGGATTTGCTCACTGAGGTCCACCATGCAGCCAGTCTAGTCCTGGTTTAGTTATTATATCTAAAATAGACACAAATTATCCAAATGTAATTGTTGTTCTTGTTCTAATGTTGTTTCAGTTCTTATGATTGTGATTAGGATTAAGAGATCCTTTAAATGTCAGTGTTGAAATTTCATTGTTGCATCACAAGTTACAGAACAGTAATGAACAATTACTTTTAGTATAATACATAAAATTTGATCGATTCTCTCTTTCTAATGTTTAACCACTTGATGTTCACTACTTGAAGAAAGAAATGTAATGTTTTCTTGTTAACACAAATCATTTGTTTTTGACCCATACTTGTTTTTCTATAGGCCTTTACCAAATGGTTGAGATGCAGTTTGATGGTAAAAG